CAGGGATGGGGCCTCCACTACCTCTCTGGGCAACCCGTTCCAGTGTTTCACCACCCTTATCGTAAAAAATTTCTTCACTATATCTAGTCTACATCTACCCTCCCTTAGTTTAAAGCCATTACTTCTTGTTCTGTCGCAACAAGCCCTGTTGAAAATAATTTCCCCATCTTTCCTACAGGACCCCTTCAGGTACTGGAAGGCTGCTATAAGGTCTCCCTGCAGCCTGCTCTTCTCCCGGCTGAACAGCCCCAACTCTCTCAGCCTGTCCTCATAGGAGAGGTGCTCCAGCCCTCGGATCATTTTTGTAGCCCTCCTCTGGACCTGCTCCAACAGCTCCATATCCTTCTTGTGCTGAGGGCTCCAGAGCTGGATGCAGGTCTCCAGGCAGGGTCTCACCAGAGCAGAGTAGAGGGGCAGAATCACCTCTCTTGACCTGCTGGCCATGCTTGATGCAGCCCAGGATATGGTTGGCCACCTGGGCTGCGAGCACACATTGGTGGCTCATGTCCAGCTTTTCATCCACCAGTACCCCCAAGTTCTTCTCATCAGGGCTGCTCTTAATCCCTTCATCCCCCAGCCTGTATTGATACCGGGGGTTGCCCAACCCAGATGCAGGACCCTGCACTTGGCCTTGTTGAACCTCATGAGGTTCGCACAGGCTCACTTCTCCAGCTTGTCCAGGTCCCTCTGGATGGCATCTTGTCCTCCTGGTGTGTCAACTGCACCACACAGCTTGGTGTTGTCTGCAAACTTGCTGAGGGTGCACTCAATGTCATTGTCTAGATCATCTTCAAGCCACCATGAGAAATTTCCACACTTCATCAAATCATAGGCTAATGTGCTTGTAGACCTACTTATATTATTCACAGGCTAGAAACTGACATCTAGAACAATTTATTTTATTCACAACATATGAAAAATATGTAATTGCCCAATAAATACAGTATTATTTTCCTGCATTTATACAGTTTTTCACCTACTGCTCAGGTGTACTGAATAATTTAATTTAATTAAAAGAAAGAGATTCAGAGATTGCTCAAATCCTGAAAACTCTGCTGAGCTTTCCTTATGAATCAGTGGATGTGCCCATAGCTCCCTTACTAGATCCCTGGAATGACCCCAAGCAAAACAGGTTTCTTAATCTTTCTACCTGTCTCTAGGACCATATTTTCCATTTGGCTGCCTGGATGGACAGTGAATCTGGTTTTGACATTAGACAACAGAGGCACACAAAACAAGGTATCTTTACTAACTCTCAGAGAAATCTGGACTGTAAGATTAGGGCATACTGTCTCCAGTTACTAAAAATTTGTGGAGATATTAAGCAGGAATATCTTCTCCAATTTATATTTTTATAACATAATTTATGTATGTATACATATATGCAAATATACACATTTATATATACACACACTTACATACACATACACTAAATCAAGAAACAAGAACCATCACTTTCACATCCAAACCTATGAATTAATTCCCCTTCCCATAAAAAAGCCTTTTATGTTTTAATAACATCTGTTTCTAGTTTAATCATTTGATTCAAGCTTGGATATTTAATTAACATGAGTGTTTGATCTTCTGCCGCCTTTGCCATTAATATAGTCCAAGTAAGAGAAGCTGAAAGAGAGATTAGATTGTACTGCATACAGCTGGCTGCTATTAAAGCTAAACCAAGCAAGTGAAGCTTGTTTAATATCCAGTTAATTAGCAGCACAGTGAGGTATTGACAAGATTTTCTGGGCTTGTTCGTTCAGTTTGCACGCTTATTAGCAAAAGGCTTGTTGCGGTGCAGTGTCAACCCATTTAATCCCGTCCTTGCTGGCAGGCAGTGTCCCATGAGATCATGGAAGCAGCTCCCTGTGCACCAACTCCTCTTTCCAACTTCTTGGCTGCCAGAAAGCTGACCCTGGGCGTAAAATCCAGGTGCCTATTTTCTTCTCCTTACATACTGGAATGCAGCTGACCGTATGCTTTTAAATTTCTGCGTTTGGACTTGCCTTGAAAGGCAAGAGGTTTTTGCAGACATTGCTAATAACAAAACAGTAAGCCTTGGGTCATTCATTAGCACCCATTTGACTATCAAAATAGGAATGGAAACGACCACACTGGTACCAGTCAGGTAGCTCTCAGAGCCCTTTTACTTCTATACAAGCTAATCGTACACACTTTCTTTGTTCAAATACTTCTTTTCGGCTGATGGTGGCAGTGATGGTTTGGAGTCCATAGTCAGCACCTGCAACTCTTGTAGGTGGTTTTCTAGACTAGCAAGAATATGGGTTTTTTTCCGAGTCTTTTCAACAGCACTGAATATTAAGTTCCAGTAAGTATTTGAGTTGCCTTGTCCATGTCTTGCAATGCAAGGAAAAATTAATTTATGGCACTGCATGAAGACAGCTGCTAATCGGTCATCTGCAGGTAAGCTTACTCCTGGATGTAAATATATCTCTATGGAAATGTTAATGGATTTATAGATCAAGTTTCCACAGCTGTGTTATTTTAGAAAATATGTCTGTAAGAGAAAGGAAAAAAAATCCTCCCAAAACACATCTGTGCAACTTGGTTAATACGTATATACATCACACCCTACTAAAAATAGCAGGTGACAGAATACAGAGTCTTGAGTCATCTTTCAAGACATAAAACACTAAAATAACAGGTACAGCAGTTTTATCTTAAAGAGGGACAGTGACGACATAAAAAATAAACTCTTAAGATTAAAGATTGTATTTCCCAAAAAGCAGAAAGGGGGAAAAAAAATAATTAAAAGCTTTGCTTCAAACACTCACCAATTATAGGGAAGCTTTCCATCTCTCTCTAAAGATGCAAAATTGACAAAGGTTCCAGCCCCGCACTCCCTGTTTCAGGAAGACCATTGGGTACAAAGTTACCATTTTTGGATTCACAACACTTTCAATGAGGCTGATTTAACAGAGAACTCTCGGAGCTGCTGAGAAGTGCTGAACACTCACATCTGTGACCAGGTCCAAGATAATCTGTGATAAATATAACTGAAATCCCTTAACACAGTTGTTCAAAACCAACAAATGTTCAACACCACCTGAGACCAGGATTCCTATTAATGCCTAAAAGGAATGAAAAAAGCCAGAAGTTGCTACTAAAGATCTCGAACGGATCTCCTCTGCTGTCCAGATCTGGGCTTTCTATAGTCAGGTGCTAGCACTACTTGCTGACCTCAGTACATATGCTAAATATTTACCTTTCTATACTAAATATTCACTGTCTCAACTCTAAGGAGAAGATGTATAATTGTCTCCATTTGACAGGATCACGGTATTGAGTTCACAAAATAATTGAGGGAAACCACTGAATTTCCTGAAAAACATTCCATTGAATTTATCACAAGTCCCTTATTTTCAGCTACAAACAATAAACTGACTTGACTATTTTTAATTCCTTGATTCAAGTAAACAATTGCTTGCAGCTTCTTACTGGATTTACTTTTTAAATTTTCTTCTGGGGTTTTTATCTTTCGTGGCTAGAAGCAGTGATGCAGAGAAAAAGAAAAAGCTTTGGACTGCCTGCAGAGTCATTAAATAGGAAAGAGAATTAATTTTGCTAGGATTTTCACAGAGCCTGTACATTTTTATGTTCTTTTTCACAGAGCATGTAAAAGGAACAAACCACATAATATTCACTCTAGGCGATAGCGGGCAAAGTATGTGTGATGTGGTCATCTGCTGCATGTAATACGTAGCCAAGACAAAACATGTAAAATGCAGTGTCTGCTAGGCAGCCAAGTGAAAGATTTTTCGCAGAAGTTTTTTTACATGAAATTATTTCCTTCCTTGACACAGGACAGTAAATTAATATAAAATATATTACATAGGTTATAAAAGGATGAAGACTCCAGGACACGTCCAAAACCAGGAGGTGAACCACGTATTGAGGGTTTGGGGAAACCTGCACAGTTCATTCAGGCCATAACATAACTCACATTAAAGTGAACTGTTACAGGGAAGGCCACCAGGAAAAGGAAACTGAATTTCAATATTCAGGTACAAATGATTGGTGCAGATAGCTGAAGGAACCACAGGTTCCATAAAAAACGGTTACCCCTACAAGATAATTTTTCTCTTCATCTGTATGACACAACAAATTGGGATCATTAACATTGTAGGTGAACAGCAGGATCTGAGATCCTTTCTGGATTTGTGGTTCTCAGTGTATATTTGACTGCACCCTGACTGTATAGAAAGACAAGATCTAGGTGACCTCATATGCTCTTTCTCATGCTGCAAGTGATCCTGTGGAAGGAAGCCCTTACGCATGCAGAATTGGGACAACTGGAAGACCAGGATTTGAGGGCAGACTGGCAAACGCTCTAGAGAGAGACTCTCTGGCCCCTGGGCACATCCTCCCTTGTCCTAAGGGTTTGGCTGCCAGGGCTCAGGTCTTACAAGGCATCCTGGACCTGAAGAACAAACCATCTTCTCCATTGATACGGAAAATCTCCTGTTTCAAACCACATGAAAGACTTGCAAAGCATCTTGACCTGCTGCTCGCACCCAGTTGCCTCAGATCCCAATTATTCTTTAGGTTCCTGACACAACTCTTTTGTAATAAATGACTCACTTCTTACAGACCCAGTCTTGCAAAGCTCAAAATGAGACAAGGGTTGCGGCTTCTAACTCAGGGCAAGTGATAAAGGGAGATGACATGCTACTCCTGAACAGCAGCAAGACAACTATTTTGAAGGCATCCTGTTCACAAGCATCTTGAGCAGCACCCATGCACACAAGCATCCTCAACTGCAACTACTGTCATGATGCGTTTGTTCTTGTCTGAAAGTTTTGGAATTAGCATGAACCTCGATTTACCTGGCCATTTGTAGATGCTTTCTCCTGAGTACAACAAGAGTCACCAGCAGCAGTCCAATCAGAAGGATACTTAGGATGGCTAACACGGAGATTACCACTACATTGGGATTCATCTCGGTGACTGTACATGCAAACAAGGACTCTTGGTTATTCATTTCAGAAATGCTGACAGTTTGGTGTGTGTCCCCCCCAACACCACCACCCCAAACATTGGTAAGTGTTATTTTTCTGAACTGATCTCATTCAGCCTGGAGCGCTACAGAGAGAAAAATCTACCGCTAGAGATAAAGGGAGGTTTTGACTAGTTATTGCTCTTAAAAAAATTACTGCGGGGAAATGACTTCACTCTGGCATTTTGTTAAAACTTTGGCATGTTCTGATTTTTTTTTTTTTCCTTTTTAACTGATATTCATAACACAAGAGAAAAGGGTGAAGGGAATATAAAATACAGATATTTATCACCATCTATGTCTCCAAAACACATTTCAGCTCTGAAGTTCTTCTTCAACAACAGTCCATATCTTTTCTGGCCCAAAAGCAAAATAACAGGCTGAGGCTCTGTAATACACTGAGTTGAAACTGGTTTAATTACTTTGGCAAATAAATTTTAACAAAATATTCTGTTTTAAATAAGAGCTGGAATCAGCTCTCAATAACAACACCTTGATTTATTTTTGTTCCATGTTACATGCTTATTGACCGTACTATGACGAGACCAGATATCCCGTTCTGCTCATTAGATAAGAAACCCTCTCTACTTTACTTACACAGAATAACTGTACATCCGCAGTTGTCTAGAGAAGCATTTTTTAGATAAAAAATCATGAAGATATTTAAGTTAAGTATCCAACATGGAACTCCAACATGGAGTGGTGCATAACGTACAGAACCAGTGACTAAAGCTACACAACTCCCTAACTAAGCAGAGATGACACCGGTCATTCTGCAGGGGAAATTTTAAAGAAAAGCCCAGAAGTCTGGGCAGCTCAACACTGATATTCTTTCTTCAGAGTCAGTATAGAGCCAGGCTTCAAAACATGCCCAGGGAAGCCTCTATCAGGAGCCATCCCTGCGAGGTGTGACTGCTCAAGCTCCTGTGGTGGCCTTTCTCCTTCTCTCTCACCACATCTCTGTTTCCTCCCTGAACACAAAAAGCAATTTCTTGCCTTAGAACCTTATAAATGTCATTTTCCTCTCATTTGGGCTTGCTGACAAGACATTTTTCTCCATAAATATCATCAAGCATTACCCCGATGTTCAGCCTTGACACCACTATCTAGGTCCCTGATCTCTAAAACCCAGTAGACAATTAAGTCTCTAGTTTATATATTTCAAAGTCAACCCCGCAGTAGGGATTTTTCTAAGGACTTTTTAAAGCTGCTTCCCTATCCCATCCATACCTGGCAGCCTTTCCATGATACAAACCACCCCTGGGGCCAGCATTACCAAGAGCAGCTTTGGAAAGCAAGAAGAAACAGATGTTGTAGCTGGGGGAGGAAGAAGAAAGCAGGGAAGTGCTCCTTACCCATGGTGGAAACCGCAATGAAAGTGGGGATGCTGGGGCTATTGTGGCTGAAGGTGGTCACACTGCAGTTGTAGGAAGTGGCAGGGGTTAGGCTGGAAATGGTCACTACGTGTGAAGAGACAGTGACAGGTTCCTGCAGATGTGGGAAAAAGTGCAAAAAATTTTGTCTCTCCTGTAAACACAAGAGCACAAATCACTGCTCCCCTCTCCACCCACATACTAGACCAGCTAAAGTCAGATCTGGTGAAAGAAACCAGCACTTCGAAACTCAGGGAAGGTAACCAGGGTCTGCCCTTGAAAATAAACAGGTAGCCCAGCAGTCTGGCAGAAGAGGGGAGAGGAACGGGGGTGAAAATAGCAGCAGGAACAGCCCAGAGCACACCAAGCAGCCTCACGACCCCTTGGGGAGGGCAGAGGGTGCCTTGAAGGGGGTTGGTCAGGCACTTGCATGGTGGGGGAACGCGCTGTGAACCCCAGGACAGCCCCAGCGGTGGGCAGAGCTCATGAGTTCTGGTTACTAAGCCATACAGGTAGGAGGAAAATAAAGGCATTTTTATTCGCAGTGTGGCCAAGATAGTCACAATCTCCACACCTTCGTATGAGTATGTGTCATCTCTACCTCTGAAGCAGTTCCTCTGCATGTGAAGAGCTAACAGGCTTTCACATGGCCAAGGTGAAAAGCAAAGCTAGAGCAACGCCTTTGGGTAATAACCATGCTCAGACATCCCATACCTCAGTTTTTCTAGGTAGTAGAAACCCTTGACATAACATCTTTTTACAATGTTTTAATTACTATGTCCCTGGTAAACAATTTTGTGTTTCATAAATGTTCATATGGCAAAAGAAAACAAATACACCATATGCATTGACTTAAAGATGTAGCTCCTTAAGATCCTCAGAAGCTTTTCCGTGCTCTCCAGCAGAACCAAGGGTGGGTTGCAGATGAGAAAACAGGGACACTGAGCCAGTGGTTTAGAAAGGGAACAAGCAGAAGTTTTATGAACGAACTTGCTCTGGATGGGGAACGCAAGATCCTGTAGCAAGTCCTGAGCACTGGACTTTTGTAGTGGCCTGTTGTCATCCATGGGATCCTTCTAGACTAGCAAGGGTTCCTGTTGCAGCGCAGTTCTGAGGTATGTCACACAGGTGAAATCACATGTATATGAGTGTAAGGGAGGAGACTTTGATTCCCTGAGCTGAAAGGAGGGGCCACAGTTTGGCAACTGGGCTTGCTTGGATGTTATCCATTTTCCCCTCTGGGAAATCTAAATTAGTCAAGCAAAACTCAAGATGTTCAAACCTGGAAAGCTGTTGCTTTTCATTTTGCTGATTTTAAAATGGAGGAAAGGGACAAAAACATTCATGTAATTATCATGGAATATCACAAGCAGAGAATTTTCACCAGTCTAATGGGAAATCATCCCTGTTCACTGTTCAAAAAGGAGCCCTTCCCCTTTTTTCACAGACGGAAAAGAGTAACGAATCTAATGAGAAGTGAGCTGACAATCTCTGTGCATTTCCCAGTGCCAGATGCTCATGTCAACAAATGAGACACTGACTGAAGCTCCTGCCAAATGGAGCAGTCTTTTCCTGATGTTCTTAAAACACATCTGCTCTGCACTGAAGCTGCAAATCCTGTGGTACCTTCCTTGCCTAATCACATCACTATTTTGAATCTCTGCTAAGTGGATAATGACTTCATGATCATTAGCTATTCATTGTGAAAAAGCAGGAATCTAGATGTCGAATCCAAACTATCCAACAGATTAAAGTTCATTTAAACACATTTTTTTTTCCTTAAGTCAGTGCCTTTCTCAATTTAAAAGGAATATTAAATAATTCAGACTGGTCTTCCATAGGATTAAAAAGTTTATATGTCTCCTTTGGGATAATCAGTTGTCTGAATGGGTTATTTTTTACTTTCTTCTGAATGGTTCCCCATTTTGTGTGACAGTTCACGTGAGAGAATGATGTTGCATGGTATGTAATCACAGTGATTCACTATACCATCAGCTAAACCACAAAGTAAGCCTCATATGTTGCACAGCATTGAATGGCAATGAATTAAACCTACTACTGCTCTACTCTTCACTGAACAATGTTACCAGTCTAAACCCTCAGATATTCAGGTGTCCTCTGCGCACAGGTACTTAGCTGGACAGAGAGAAAAGGAGGTTCATTTGTGAGGCTGAGAAGGTGGACCTCAAAGAAAATACCCTAATAGACAAGATCCATGAGAGGCAGCCACATTTGGAGCATAAAGGTACTCTCTGAAAAGCAATGCAGGTCCTACTGAAGTTCAGTTAATGGTTCTCAAAACCAGGAATAAAGTAAGCCAGAAATAATAAAATGCTACATAAAAGATCTCATGGCACCCAAGTATGTCTATTTTTTTTTTCCTTATCAAGCTACCTGACCATTTTTCCCTTCCTGCCCACCGACATTCCCTTAATTTTGTGGTCTTTTAGGTTTTGCATGGTATAGTACAGCCTTTTTCTTGAGCAGCCAAAAACTGACACACTGTTGGATGCACATAGCTTCTGTCCAACTAGTTATAATCTCATCAATAAGACAGAAGCCAATTTTAATATCGCAAAATAACAAACTATTTCAGTATCTGAAATGCTTTAGTAGTTTAGCTTTTAAAGGTTTAGTTCTGAACCACCTTACCACATTTGGTTTCATGATCTGACCTGTGCACCGAGCATAAGATGTCATCGGGCTTTACACACAAATGCTAAGCAGCAGACATCAAACTAGAAAGGTGCAAGACCCAGTCTCAGTTTCAGAGATAAAGAGCAGAAACAATGAAGAGACGCTTACATACCTGGACTTTTGTTTCCTGACCAGATCCAGCCTGCTGGCAGTAGACTTCAAAGAAATCGGCCACTCCTTCTTCCACCCACAGCAGAGTCACAGAGGTCTGAGTTTTGTTGACAGCAAACAGTGATTTTGGAGGGGCTGGTTCTGGTTAAGAGAAAATCTCCTTTTATTAAGTTTATTTTTAAGTTTCCAGAAAACTGAGAAGAGGAAGCCTCGAACAAAACTGAAAGCAGTGCCTGATGCCCTTCTGTCTCTCATTTCCTTCAGATCAAGCCTGCCAATGTAAAGCCCTGCCTCTCATGATGGTAAACCACCCCTGTAAAATGGGAAGATGATGAAGCGTCTTGGTTTTTCTTCTCTATTTAAACTGTTCTCTGTTTGGACAGTTGGATAATTAGTTCATTTTCCTTTTCAGCAGAGCCCTTGTTTGAGGATGACCAGTGTATTCTATTAATAGCACGATGTTAACAGAAGCTCTTTTAGGAGAAGATGGCTGCCCACCTGTTAGCAACACTTCTAGCCCGAGAAAGCTTTGCTTCACAAGGCCTGCCCTAGGAGATAACAAAGAAGCAGCTTCCCACAAGCGAAGGCCACCTAGGTTAATTTAATTTGTAGCAGAGGTAATATTTAGTCATCTAGCAGCTTAAAAAAATCTTCTAGTCTTGTTTTTTTTCCTAGGCTAATATTTAAGAGCCATTGGGTCTGCACTCATTTCAGTCAGCTGCAGGAGTTCTCTCTCTTCACTGAATGCAGAGGTCCAGATTTCAGGGGTCTTCAATTTATTGCTTTGATTTTTGTTGCTGTTGTGCTGGATGAACTGGCGATGGGCAAACACATACGAGGGACAGAGGTTTCTGTGTGGCGAGAAGGAGACAACCCTGTGATAAAAGGACTATTGGGGGGTCTCCTGGGAGAGATGGCACCAGAGATACTATGAAACATGGCTGAGGGTCTGCACCCAGCACCCCTGGCTCCACATGGGGTGACCTCGGCTGTCCCCTCCAGGACCACCTCCCCACCCACAGACCCTCGTGGCTGGATGCACAGCAGCCCATGGCAGGCCACAGTGACCTCCAATGGAAGCCATCCCTCACTGCCACCCCACCTGAACCAACCTGGAGCGTGGAAAGCACAGGAGAGCAGGAGAGGAAACCTTGAGGGGCAGGGAGAGAAGCAAACAGCATAGACACGGTATAGATGTACTTTTTTCCCAAGATTATTTAAAAACCAAGGCTCGATCCTGATTTTCATCCTGAAGACCTCACACGGCGGGTACTGGCAATCCCCAGCTTTCAATGCCTCAGGCATCCTGGGCCCCTTTGGTTTGCCTTCAGAGAGTGCGAAGTTCTGGTTCTACATTTCCAAACTGTTCTCCAGAGTTTTCACATTTCCTCATCCATGGATGTTTAATAAAAGCTGTCATTCTCCAACAATGACCCAATTCCAGGATCCTGACACACTACACGCAATGTACTGTGTACAACAACATTTTGCTCTTTTTTTTTTTCCCTTCACAATTTGTTATTCTAATTCTGTGAGATGTTGTCACAGGAACCTGGACGCAATGTGTAAGATCCGCCCCCAAAAAACTTGGCACAAAGGACTCGCCAAGTGGTTATAGACATTCTGGAGATGTATCCGATCCTCAGACAATCAGATCAGTGTTCTAGGGTTGGAGGTTGCCAAGATTATATCGGCATTAGGCAAAGAGCTGGGTAGGGACTGAGGCACATTCATGTGGCTTCTTCTGTGTCACGAGGATTGCAGTGCACATGTTGTTCCAGCACTACACAGGAAAGCGTCCCTCTCCCTTAATTACACCCATATATCCACTCTTGGATTCAAAAACACATTCCATCCCTCAGTCCAGGTAAAAAATGGCCTCCATTAAAATATGAGTTTTGCATTTGGGCATCATCCCAAGCAAATCCTCCTTTTGCCTCCAGCAAATGGCTTTATTTTTCTGCAAGTGGAAAGTTGCC